TGGTGGATTTTTTTTGTGTTAAAGTGATTAATGTCAGTAATTTTTGCTTTCCTCTGAGGCGTCCCTTGTGTTTCTCAGGCGGTCCCGGCTGAAGCTGCTTGCCCTGGTGTTTTAAGTGGTTTGTACTGTGCTGCCCTAAAAGTTCCTGCGAGGATGCTCACCCAAAGGTGGTTTGGGTGCGATTCGGGTGAACTTCGTTTATCTCTAAGTGCAGAGGCCCCCTTGGTTCAAATAAATGAATTATAATGAGCTTTTTGTAGTTGAATAAAGTGAACCAGGAGCTCTGGGAATGCTCTGCTCACGACAGCTTAAAAAAAACCCCAATAGTTACATTTACTTCAGACAGCTGTCTGGTTAGCAGTCGAGTTATTTGCGTAACTTATTTTTAAATATTCTGAAGGTTGCTGTGTGTTTGGGTTCGCTCTCTAGGGTGTTCCTTTGGGGAAGCTCCTTCCCTGCGTTCCCTCAGGTGCTTTGCTCCACCTGCCTGTCTCTAATGGCCCGAAAAAGGGCAGTTTTAAAATCCTAATGACACGTGCTGAAAAACATGACACGCCAGGTCAGCTGTGCCGCCCAGATCTCGGCTCTTCAAGTTCCTTTGCTGACATTTCCCATTCTTTACTTCAGACCAGTGACGCTGTAGATAAGCTTATGTATTCAATACCAAGAACTCATTTATCGTGTCGTGTTCTGTTAAAATGTGCGTTTTTGTTGTCCTTCCAATTATTTTTACTTCCATTATTTTTGCTTAATGATGAAAGAAAAATTCCATCTGCGTCCATTAAGAAGCCAGCAGGCCGGGAGAAAAATAATCAAATAATGTAAAATACTTTAATATTTTGTTAAGTTGTTGCTGATGTTTTTTTAAAGCAGTTTTTATTAATTAGCTTACGGGGGTTATGAAATGCGCTTACGTGCCTGAAGGTGTGTTACAAGACGTGGCTACTAATACTTTTTTAGAGGGACTGAGCGGTTGGAAGTCAGACTGGAGAGGGCCCTTTCTTTCGGAGCAATATTTTGATTATACTGGATATGCAGTCTTTTCTTTCGTAGTTCTTTCTCTTATTATTTCTGCAGCCTTGCACAGTAATAAACTGATCATCTTGGCTGCAAATCCAGTAATCCTCTTACTCACAATGATGTTAAACCTTGGCTGTTTGCTTAACCTTTTTGCCTTTAATTGCTGGAGAAATAATACAAATTTAGTGCAAAGCTGGGTTAGTGCTGCAGAAGGGACCTTAGTTCTTATATTCTTTTCTGTCTTTCTTCAACTGTGTATTGTTGCTTACACGATTGCAGTTCAACAGGTGTTGAGATAGTTCTTAATCGACGTGAAATTCAATTTTTTTTTATACTCTGTTTATGCTGCAGGTTGAAAACGTGAAGTTACTGGATCGCTATGCAAATAGGAAGGCAGCAAACGGGACGTTGTACCTGACAGCTACCCACCTGATCTACGTGGAGGCTTCTGCTGAAGTCAGGAAAGAAACATGGGTACGTTGTGATACCTGGAGCGTGTTTAAACGCAAGTATAAAAATCGCTTCGTATCTCATATCCAAAGGGGGCAGGTTTGTGAATTCCAAAGTTGCAGTGGTGTTTTATGGCATTTTGATACCGAATATGTAAGAGAAACAGCTGTTTGGGAAGGAAATGAAAACAATGGCAATGTGACTTGATAGAGGTCACTCACTGAACTAGTGTTAGCTCCAAGAACATAAAAAACTTGTCTGGTTCCCTAGCTCAGACTCAATACATCAAACTGCCAGCTTGTTTTCACAGCATTTAGAACTGTGAAATTAGCACTGAAATTAGCCTTTTTTAATTAATTCTAAAGTAAAAGGGGAATGATAAAACGTACTGTGTAAGGGGTGGAGAGAAAGCCAAGTGAACCAGGTAAACTCTGCTCTACCTCAGTCTCTAAAAGTAATTTACCTACCCCTGTATTGTTCAGTCTTACTCTTAGTTAGGCTTTGGGTGTGCAGTCTGGATGTTTATTACATTTATTTGATGAATGTCACAAACTTGTGCTGCTGCTTAGATGCTGTAAGTAGCTGGTAGTACCGCAAAACCTTCCTGTCTGCTTGTACCACTCACAGCCTTGTCGGTGGCTTTGGATCAATGTTGTTTGTTGCCTGTTTTTCAGATTCTGCATCACCATATCGCAGCCATAGAGAAGTTACCTGTGACCACGGCTGGGTACCACCTCCTCATTCACTGCAAGAACTTCCACGTGGCTCACTTTGTTTTTGGGCAGGAACGTGACTGCCACGAGGTCTACACCTCCTTGCTGAAACTCTCGCAACCAGGTAGTTGGGGCGGGAGCCGGATTTAAAAATTGAAACGCTTGGAGCTGGAAGGCTCCTTGCCCTGGTGCCAGCGCAGGCAGGGGAGGACGTGAGATTCGGTTTCCATCACCAGAGAAGGTCTGTGGGGTTTGGCCCAGCACGTAGAGTGCTGCCGTGTGGAGCAGGGCGTTTGCTTCCCAACTAAAGGCAGGTCTTTTAGGAATGAAGAACTTGTTTGTTTGCCTGAGTGAGGCCGTATACGACCTCTCATGCTCTCGTAGCGCTCACGCTGAGCGTCCTGTCCCATCCCTGGCCGTTTTCAGGCATTTCTGTGACTTAGCTGTTGGCCTTGTGTAGTTCTGCCCTTTCCTGTTGGTCCGGATCTTCAGGGAGTTCTGATGTCCCACAAATAAAGCTTGAAGCCTGGGATCTTTCATTTGGCTCCTAATTACACATTTAGGCTGCTCTTTGGTGGTTGTGTTCGGGTTGTGAAGCTCTGTGCTTCACCCAGGCTGCCCTGACCTCAGGGCACTCCTACGGAGTGTAAGGAAAACATCCTCAAAAGCCTGTGGTCTCTTCTGGCTTCAGCTTTTTGCTCCATCATGGGTGGATTTTCAGGTTCCTCATTCTTCTCGCAGGACAGCATTCCCCTGAGCTCCCTGCCTGCCTTCTCTCTGTGGCAGCTTCTGGGTTTGGGGTGCTCCTTCGGTGAATGGGGGTTGGGAGTTGGGCGCCAGGGGTGCCGTTTCTCATTTCATTTTGTAATTACGTTGCTGGTCTAAGGGAAGGGAGTCGGTAGCACCAGCCTGCTGAGTGCTAGCCAGCACATAGGGCTTCAGCTGAAATCCTGTGGTAGAAACGGGTTTTCACTGAGATTTTTGCTTGATACTAAGGCTAATGTCTACTCCCAGCATCTCCCTTGTGCTCCGAGCTTTGGAGTTTTCTTAGTTCAGAAGTTCTGATTCTAACGCTGTTATATGGTGAGTTTCTGGTGTCCTGTTTAAAATCTGTTGCTGCTTTTTAAGTTTTGAAAAGTGGAGACTTTTGTAGCGTCTTGAAGCGTGGGCGCTGTCGCTGCAGGGGATTACATCAGCTCTTTTGTCTTATGGTTATTTGTGTAATATGCTGCAGCTCTTTCTGCAGTTCTATTTATGGATTTTACCAGTTCTGTTGGTTTAAAATTTCTGTACGTATGCTCCCTTCCTGTTTTTTCGGCAGAGCGTGTACTTATGGGTGATTTGCGCCCGTGTGATTGACAGCTGTGGGTTACCTGTCCGGTAACCTGGCGACTTTATCAGCCTCTGACAGATTTCCCTCTGTCTCTGGAGCGCTTGCTGCCTTGGGAACCAGCTGAATGAGTTACTGGTTGGATTTGCATTTTATGAAGAGAGGGAAGGAAGTAGGGATGGAGGGAGGAAGAAATTACCATTTGTCAGACACAGCCTGAAGCTTTTGTTGGGCTGACAGTAATATTCCAGACATCCATCAAGTTTTCTGTGCGGCTCAGAACTCGCTGTTGAGCGATGAACTTACAGGTCTGAGAGCTGCTTTAGGAACTCTTTGCAGAGAATCTATCTTTTAATATACATTTTCATTTATGGATTAATTCTTACGATATAAATCTCATCTAACATGACTATAGCAGTGAATTCAGTAGGAAACAATTTGTTCAGGGGAAAAACTACTGCTCTGAAGTTTTAATTAATTCTAGCAAAATGTTTTGGCCTCTCCTTGCGCATGGGAACTGAATGTTGGAAATTTCTGAGGATTTCAGTATGAATTGCCAGCAGTGGGTTCTACCCAGAAGAAAACCTGTGAGGTTGAGAATTTTTGAATATCTGTACTCTTCTGTGTAGTACTCGGTTATTTTATTTGGTTGGTTGTTGGGGTTTTTTTTTAGTGGTGGTTTTTTTTTTTGTTTTGTTTTAAGAGTGAGAATCAGTAGTGGTGAAGTACTCAAAGTGATAAAAGAAAACTTGTGGTCTTTGAGGGAGCAGAAGCTGCGGTACAGTGGCATAGCCCTTTAGTAAATGATTTTTAAGTCTCCTGGTCTTGCTTGGCTGAACTATTTTTTTCAGTCCCTGTATGGGTCGTGGTACACCTGCAGCTTGTTGGCATGGCCGCTGTGCTTATCCAAAAAGGTCACCTTTAGGAGGAAGTGTTGACCATGTGTCTTTTGTATCTCTCTCATAACTAGTTATTTATTTCTTCTTTCTTTTTTTCCAGTGAAACCTGAAGAACTTTATGCTTTCTCTTATAATCCTAAAATGTCTAAAGAGAACCGGGAGGCTGGATGGAAGCTGATCGGTTTAACATTAGACTACCAGCGTATGGGAATTCCAAACGACTACTGGGAAATAACAGATGTTAATAAAGACTATGAGGTAATTTTTGCCCCCAAAGTAGCCATTTAACACTGTATCTCTTTGTAATTGATGACATAGAACAGTCCTCCTTCTACTGCACAGGCGATGCCTCTGGGGAGGAATGAGCTCGGTTGGTTTTAATCGAAGCCGCGTCGTCTTGTTGTGAAGTTGTGGGTAATGATGCTCCGGAAGAACAGCGCAGAGCTGCAGAGTCACCTTGGTTTGCTTTCATCCCACTGGCAAAGGACCAGATAGTTGGGGTTTTTTTTTCTCTAGAGAAATGTCAAACCATGTGTTACGAAAAAAGCTGAAGTACCCTTAGCTGCTTTTGGTATTTCCAAACCCTGTCCCACCAGGCTGGTGATGGACGTGTAGAAGAGAAATAAATGGCAGTGGCCTGGTGTGGTGGGGGATGAGACAGATTGGGAAGGGACTAGGTAAGGATGGAAAAACAGTCATGGCAAGCAGACGTAGGGTGTTTTCGTGCTTGGTTGGATCTTTTGTTAAATAAAGGCTCCGTCACTTCAGTCCTAACTGGCTGCTGCTGTTATTTTCTTCTCCCCTGTAAGGCCGGGCTGGATCTGAACAGCATTAAATGAAAGCATTTTTCAGGAAGCTTGCTCGAACTCCTGCTTTGTATTATTCCCCTTTTTATTTCTTCTGATACTGTGTGCAGCCAGACCTTTTGGTCTGAAAGTCAAAGCAAACAGCTCTGAGAAAATCATTGATACATGAAGTCTTGAATCTCTTCCCCCACTGGTTGAATTTTCTCTTATGCTTTGGGTTGAAGAAATATAAGCCCACGCTGTCACAAGTGACTGGTAATTGCAAATGGATTGAGATGTGATGCGAGAGGTGCTTTCTCCGTTAGCTGGGTAGGAATGTGGGCATCTAAAATCATTCGTCACTTCGAAGCTTTGCTTGCTGGTATGCAACTCTCAAGTGCCAGTGCTCAGGGTTTCTAGCTTAAGTTTAGAAATGGTCAAGCCTAAAGTAAAGCCAGACTTGTTAAATAGCTTATCGGTGAAGTACGTGCTGAAAAGACTGTATTCGTTTGAGAAAAAAGGATAAAGCTGGTCTCTGAGGGTGCTGCCTCATTGCAGGAAGCTCATTTCAAGTTGAGTAAGGTTTAGAGGGAACTTCTAAAATATTTTGTGATAAATCAGAAACTTTGTAAAATTAATGGATTTAAAGAATTTCCTTAGAATGTGTACTGTGCAGTTCATTTTTTTTTTTAAATTTAATCACAAAATCCCTTCACCACATTGTCTTCTTTTTCACTCCTTCCGTGTTGTTTTTCTAAATGCGTCTTAATGGCTTGAAACGTTAGATGTTGACATACACCATGTCAAGCAACCTATTCCTGTTGTTTAAAAGTGCTAGGTCATAAGCTAGAGATGATTTTTTTCCTGAATTTTGAATTACTAAGTAGTAATAGATGGATTTCTTCTTCCTCCTCTCTTCTCACCTAGGTTTGCAGCACGTATCCTCCAGAAATAGTGGTGCCTAGAGCTGCTAGTAAGGCGGTGGTGATCGGAAGTTCAAGGTTCAGAAGCAGAGGGCGGATTCCGGTGCTTTCGTACTTATATAAAGAAAACAACGTTAGTTGCTCATTATCTGCTGTCTCTCTGGAGCGTGAGAGTTCCCCTTCTTGCCCAGTGCCCTTTTAGTGGAAGAAGGAGATAATTGTTAGAGCATATTCACTTCATATACAAGAACTCTGCTTATCTTTATGGCTCTGATATTAGTTTGCTCTGGGTCACAGAAAACACTTGGAGCTGTGCAAAAAGCCCAGACTTTCCAAGCTTCCTCTCTGGATTCTTTATTTTTTTCCAGCTTTCGGCCATTCTTTGTTATGTGGGGTTTTTTTAATCTGCTCTTCGGCTATGTTGGATAATGTTCTAACAAGTTGTGTGTTAACTCAGCTAGATTTTTCTTAGCATTAAAGAGGAGGAACCATCCTGAAATAAAGCCCCACTAGCTCAGAATAAGCAAAGGTTTCAGTTTTTTTTTCCACTGAAGCCCAGATTGTAAGTTTTTAACTTTGCTGCCTCAGCAGTGTTTTGGATGCAGATGTTAAGAAAATGCTGTCGCAGACAAATTGTTGTTTTCCTGAGGAAGCGTGCCTTGACCTGGGCAACTGCACGGAGTTGTGCTGGCAGCTTTCGAATTTTCCCTAAAAAAAAAAGTTCTGAGCCTTGAAGGGTAACACCTGATAAGCAAAGCTGTAGAAAAGAGTGGTTTGGACAACACAAACCAAGTAGATAACATCAGAAATGCTGATGTTTGGGATCCTGATCACCAGGCAGAGCAGCCTGGGCTTGAGAGCATAGCAGTGAGGTTTCCAGCATGGCTCCTTAGGCTCCCTACTCTTAAGATTCCCAAACTTGTAGCTTTGTGAAATATTCCAGCAGTATTTCTATACGCCCATTTCTGGAGCTGTTTTTTTTCCTGTGCAACAGGGAATAGGGCAATTCTTCAGAGCGGGGTGGCAGAGGGGACCTGAAAGCAGAAAAATAAAAGCGAGCTGTTGTGTATTGCAGGCTGCCATATGCCGCTGTAGCCAGCCTCTGTCCGGGTTCAGCGCGCGCTGTCTGGAGGATGAACAGATGCTGCAGGCCATCCGAGAAGCCAACCCTGGAAGCCCCTTCATGTATGTTGTAGACACGAGGCCAAAGGTATCTCCCTGGGGTTTGTGGCTACTTTGAAAGCTCACATCTGAATTGGTAGCGCGGTTTCCAGTTTGTTCTTTCACGACCCTGCTGCCATTTTTGGTGAAATTGTGTCAGACCCCAACAGGGAATTCAGTGTCAGGCTCCTGATTCGGTGCCGTAACGTGACAAATACTTGTGCATTGTAAAGGTGCAACGTTAAGTGCTGGTGAGAATGCTTGTGCTCCTGGACAATCCCGGGCTGAGAGTTGTGTTGAGGATGACCTCAGGCAGCTGGCAGTCTTGAACGGGGCTGAGACAGCGAAGCATTTTCTGCAGAGAGCTCGGTCCTCGGTGTGCCGAGTTGGAGGGAAACCTCAGGAGTCAATTCTGTGAGACCAAAGTGCTTTTATCGGCAGGAGTGGGGCTGTGTGGAGTCTGATAACAACTGAGAAAAGCAATTCTTCAGTTTTGTTGCCTCGGTAAAAATAACATTAATGTCCTCGTGACGTGCAGCTTGGAGGTTAATGCGGTTTAGCTCTGCTGGTCCATCGCCACGACTTGGGGCTAGAACTTTATTGCTGAGGTGTGTTGAAGAAACATTTGAAAAATGAAATCTCTGATGACTGTGGTCTTGAGGAAGTGAATTTAGAAAACAATTCCAGTGATTATCGAGTAAGCATATTGATTGGGAGCATCCGTGTAAGCACATTAGAACACGAGGATTTTTGTAGCATAATTATTTAAATGTAGAGACTTAAAAGTGCCCTGGTATTTTAAAATTGAGCTTTCTGAGAATGTGCTTCACTTTTCAGATTTTGCAGTTATTTTATAGAAACTATAGATGTAGTTAAGCTGTGACAAGGGCAAGAAGGGAAAAAGTCTTTCAGGGAAAACAGGGGATGTTTCACCTGTTGTTCCAAGATGTATTTTGGCTTTTCGTAGTACGGTGTTTCCTGAAGAGAACCTGGTCTGTAATTACGTGGATGTTTATAGCAGTGGCTACACGTTCATTTGATGCAGAGAGCTGCCGGTATCGCAGATGTTCTACTGAAATCTGTCACTGCTGGCAGTCGTGTTCTAAAGTATTTTGTGAAAACAGGAGAGTTTCCAGTTGGTCGCGTTTCTCCTTCTGACGCAACATGTTGTATTCTGGATGGTAGAACTGAAGTGCTAGGGCTGTGTAATTGTCCTGAAAATGCACAGACCTTACCTGACTCTTCCTTCTCTCCGCGTGACGGAGGCAAATTACTCCTCTCCCTCAACTAACATGTGGGGAGCTGAGCTGTGCTCTTTTTTTAACCGCTGCTAAAGATTTCCTGGTAGCTCTCAAACTGGTTTGAGTCGTTGTTAGAGCTGGCTTCCTTTCTACTTATTTTCTGCAGTTCCAGTTGGTTGCCGTATTCTTTCTGCTCAACTTTAATATTTCTGTGTTTCCCTCAGGTGGCTTTATTTCACCTGTGCATGTATGTCTGTGAAAAGCTTTGGAATTCTCTTACTATTTCTGTACCACCATGTATGTATGTTACTCGTAAAAATGGCTTTCCTAGTTTTACTTTCGTATGCTTCTGTCTGAATCTTTTTACGTAGCTTAAGAGTTAAGGCAGCCTCTGTGTCTCTTTACCTGCTTTGATGACAGCAGTATTTTGAAATTGGGAATGGTTTTGATGCTGCCTACCCTAAGAAATTCTATCCAGGGCCTTAGTGAGTCTCTGCCTGTGACTGAGGGCCTGGAGACTCTGGCATAATTATAGTGAAACAGCTGGAGGTAACGTCTGGGAGGTGGGGAAGTACATCTGAGTAACAGTTTGGTTCGGTAGATTTTTCCAGATTTTTGAATAAAAGAAGGACTTGCAAAACAGACTCTTTTATTTCTGTGTGTTATTGATTGTAATTTTCTGTTTCTCTTTTCTCTCTTATTCCTCTTCCCTTGAATTTGGCAGTTAAATGCCATGGCCAACCGAGCTGCTGGGAAAGGTTATGAGAATGAAGATAATTACGATAACATTCGCTTTAAATTTATTGGCATAGAAAACATCCACGTGATGCGGAACAGCTTGCAGAAGCTCCTGGAAGGTAGGTACAGTCCGTGCAAACAGCCGGTCTTCATCGCCCTTGGCTACTTTTGGACAGAACCTTTTGCTGACTATGTAAATCCTACGTGCACAAGTGTTACCTTAAAGTGGAGATCAGCCTGGTCACAACTGTAAATCCTCAACTGCCTCTTCCTGGCAGATTTACTTTGTGGTGGAGACCGAGGCAGAATAAATGCTTGTTTACTACCATATTCTTCTTTGACAGCGATAAAATCTCTCTTGCTCGTGCTTACGGGCTATTGAGCTGTATTGTGGCGAGTATTTTCTGTGCTGGGTTTCAGTATAGCATCTGAGTTGCCTTTGAGGCCAGACGTGTTATTTCTCTCTCTAAATTAAAACTGTTCTTTCTTCAGATCTTTGTGATGGCAACTGCGTGTTAGTCGTTGTTAGATGTGTGTGTGATGGTGACTTACGGTGAAGTAACAGATCACTAAACTCTTTGTTTGGAAAAAACTCAGGTAAAAAGATGAGTTAACGTAAAAAAAGAGGAGGGGAGGGTCTTTTCAGATCCTCAAGTTCTTTCATAGCTAAAAATTAGCTGGTATTTAAGTATGCCACCAGAGACAGCGTATTACCGCTCAAAGTGTGGAAATACTCACTGTTAGGATCTACCAGGCTGTGTTGCTGTGAAGAGATAATGAGGAGGTGGGAAGAAGAAAGAGCTGCTGTTAATGGAGTGTCAGCTAATTCCTCTATTTGTGTTCTTAGTGTGTGAAATGAAGTCCCCGTCAATGAGCGATTTCCTCACTGGGCTGGAGAACTCAGGTTGGTTACGGCACATTAAGGCTGTGATGGATGCAGGTGTCTTTCTTGCCAAGGTAAAACTGTACTCCAACCTGCAGGTGAATTAAAAAAAAAATAAAAATTAATGTGCTTGTCTGTTAGGGACTGCTCCAAGTCTGTGAGGTTGTCTCGGAGAGAAAAGGTGGGAGAACACTGCTCTTGAGGTTGGCTTCAGCTCTTAAAACCAAGCCTGCAGTTGGAGAACGTCAAGTGGGTTACCCGGCTGGTGCTCTCCTAGACCCTTTCTGTGACAAAATGAAACTCTAAAGGGATTGGGGTGTTGTCCTATTCACTGTATTATAACAAGCAGTTGTCTAGGCTTTACTGAGACTCATTTTAAACAAATAAAATTGCAGAATGTGAAGAAATGACCCTTATAAACTTCTCTATGCAACACGTATTTAGTAGTGCAACCAACTCCTGATCTTGTGCTCATTAGTTGTCGGACTGCTGTGCTTTAAATGAGGGATTGTTTTGAGCAGTCTATTTTCCCCTGGTTCTTTGTGAAGAGAGAGCTGCTAATTTTGATGATGTGATGCAGTCCTCGTTTGTGCAGAGCTTGTGGCTTTGCAGCTCGGGCAAAAGGAGAAAAGGCTCTGAGGCACGGGGCTCTTAGGTGACAGTAAAGGGCATGCAGGAACACGTGGCAAGAGTAGTGACCTTCTGTAAATGTTATCTTTTCTCTCTTAAAATTCTCCCGTGTAGCAAGCAAGCAGTTTTCTTGTGTTGCTCTTCTGCCACTGGTACACGGGGAAGACGATCCCATAGGGAGGAGGTTGGAATGAGCTCTTCTAATGTTACTTGAGAAGTTCTTAGTCTCCCTGTGTCCTATTCTTTACTCATCCACCAAATTGTTCCTGAGGGCAGGAGACTGAGAATTGTTGCCCCTTCAGAAAAGTGAGCGTTTTGAAATCAGAGGGTCTTTGTTTCCTGGTAGCTGTATTGCTGGCAAGGCATGCCACATCCCACTGGGGCTTCCGATGGCTTGGTGACCCTGTGCCCGCAAACAGGGCGTTTCTGTGGCCTACATGAGAAGTGACAATTTTTCCTCTTGGGTTTTAGGCCACCCAGGTAAATGCAGATGAAGGGCTAGCGTTTAATTACAGTGACCGACCTAGAAAGCTGCTAAACTGTTCTATCTGCTCTGTCCTTTGCAGGCTGTGAAAGATGAAAAAGCCAGCGTGTTAGTCCACTGCTCCGATGGGTGGGATCGCACGGCGCAGGTCTGCTCCCTGGCTAGTCTCCTCTTAGATCCCTTTTATAGGACTTTTAAAGGCTTCATGGTAAGAATGCGAATGTTGGAATTTCAAAAATTAAAAGTGCTTCCTGGGTTTGAAATGTAAACACACCCTAATTAAATGTTCCAGGCTATTTCCTGGAGCAAACAGTAGGTGACCTATATAAACCCAGCTTTGATTCTGTAAACAAGCTGTAATTGCTCTGAACAGCATGGGCACAAAACGGCAGCGTTTGATTTAGAATTCCCAAGTCTTTGTCTCCTTGAACATCCACGAGAGCTACTAATGAGATGTTTCAGCAAGAGATGAGTGAGCAAAGGATCCAGCTCTGGCGGCGGTCCACAAAAAAGTGGTGAAGAAACTTGTTATTTAAGACTGTTACAGTGAATGGTCTCTTATCTGGTAGGATTTAAAATTGGGTGAACTCGTTCTTGTGCCCAGGGCAGCGTGTAACCTGTACATCACGTAAAAATCTGCGTGTCGTTTAAGGTCTTTCTTAAAGCCATTACATGTGAATTTGGCCGTTTGCATCTCCTGCAGGCTGCTTCTTACTGGAAACCATCAGTGCATAAATCCAGCGCAGTCTGGGCTGTTTCCTTTCCATTCATCTCCCTTTGTTACGTACCTGAAAGACAGGCTGCTGCTCCCTCTTTGTTCCTTAAGAAGCCCTGAAATCAGAACAATGCAAATTTTGCCTCCTCCAGCGTGCTGCACTGCTGGGGCTGTTTCACGGAATCACAGAATGTTGGGGTTGGAAGGGACCTCAGAAGATCATCCAGTCCAGCCCCGCTGCCAGAGCAGGGTCACCCACAGCAGGTCACACAGGAACGCGTCCAGGCGGGTTTTGAAAGTCTCCAAAGAAGGAGACTCCGCAGCCTCCCTGGGCAGCCTGTTTCCTTGCATTCTGTGCTGGTTTCGTTATTGCAGTTTTTGCTTCTGGATTATCCTGTGATCTTTTAACAGTTAAAATTACATTAGATTGTGAAACATCTGCCCAGGCTTTGGCTGTGCCCTGGACAGTTCCCGTGTGACCCTAGAAAGATGGTTTTGATTTGGAAGAGGAGCAGTAACTGAAACAGGCAAACGCTTCCCTGTCCTCCAGGTCAATGGTTTATATGCACAAACCATGTGCCAGGGATTATTCCTAAATGAAGGCAACAGAAGCATAAAGGATGGAAAAACTTGAAAAGCAGTATAGCTCAAGGTTTCAAAGAGCTCTGTTGTGATTTTCTGCCTTCCTTTTGTTCTTTTCAGTCTCTGGATGGTGATAACAGGATTTTAAAACATGATCCAGCAAGGCTGGATTCAGCATCAGTCATTTGGTTCCTTGCGAGACATGCAGTTAACAAAAATACTGCTTCCTTGTTATTTAATTGTATGTAGCACAGGCATTCTGTTTAAAAGAGAAATAACCATATAGGTTTTTTTTTTTCTTTTTTCCTCCTGAGCTCCTCAGTGCACGGTTGTACTTGTTATTTCTTATTTGTGTCTTAAACATTAGTTGAATCCTGGCTGCTGATTTATTTTGCTGAACGTCACAATACTCTTTTTCTGAATTAAATAGCACATAGTGTAATATTAAGTGGTTAATTCTTTTAGCTCAGTGCGTGCTTATATATAATGATTTTAACAACACAAACTCCCTCAAAATAGTACTAGACTTGCTTGAAATAATTTCCAATTCCAACAGTAACATTGTGCTGGTAACTGTGGGTAACGATCACTATTATTATTTTCATTGACTTCTGTGGATATACTCACACCAGTAAGGTCAGCAGGTAGCACTTAGAGTTGAATGCCAGTGGTTTTGGTTCTGCTTTTTCTAAATGAAGTAATGCTCTTTTCTTTTTTTTTTAATTTCTGTTTTAAAACTGCAGGTTCTAATAGAAAAGGAGTGGATTGCAATGGGGCACAAGTTCTCCCACAGGTAAGCAGAGCGTGTTATTCCTGGGTGAACTCATACGTTGTTTCCTGGTTCATAAACTCCCCTGAAAAATTTAAATGAAAATACAGGACAGAGGAGAGAAGATCTGGAAAATCCTGGAGTTGGTGACATAAAGCCAGTACCTGCTAAGGTTGTTATTTCATCAGTGCTTTTCTTACGACTTTACAAAATCATACAGTCTTGAGCAAATTGTTTGAATTCTCAGCAGTTTCCTGCCTGTAAAATCACACTCCTGTTATGGAAGGAGTGCTAATGTTCTGGCAACACGTGTAAATTCCCCTGCAGTCGTCTCCTGGAAGAAAAACTCAGCTACTGTTTTTCAGGACTTTTTACCAAGCTCAAAGCAGAAACTCGAGCCCACTGTCGTGCTCAAACCTGGCTTGACTTGCATGCCCTAGGCAGATTAAAAACACCGTTGTTCCTGTAACTGATGGCCTGCATCTTGTAGGGATGCTGTTGTTATATTTACCATCAGAAATTAGCAATTGAGATGATCTAAAATAATCTGGGGAGGGAAGGGACCGGTTTATTCAGTGATACTAGTTTGTGAAAAATTGAAGCTTTGTTAATCCCTGCCTAGATTTCTGCAGAACTACGAGGGGTTTTCTGAACTTCCTCTAACGCTGTCAAAATGTGTTTTGATTGTTGCTTTGAGGCTTTCTTTGTTTCAGGGGGGTGTGCCTAAATGTGCAGGTGCTGTAAGATAACTCATAAAATCACAGAATGCTTGGGATTGGAAAGGACCTTAAAGATCATCTCGTTCCAACCCCCCTGCCGTGGGGAGGGACGCCTCCCACGAGAGCAGGTTGCTCCAGGCCCCCTCTGACCTGTTTGCTTCTGATTCTGCAAAGGAATTTTTTATTCTAGTAGCAAAGAAAACTTCCAGTTGTTTAATGCTGAGGGAATTCTTTTTTTGTTGTCGGGTGACAGAGGCTTTAACCCTGTTTTTTCTGCATCCCTCCAGGTGTGGTCATTTGGATGGTGACCCCAAAGAAGTGTCCCCTGTCTTCACTCAGTTCATCGAATGTGTCTGGCAGCTCATGCAGCAGTTCCCCTGCGCCTTCGAGTTCAACGAGCGTTTCCTTCTCGAAATTCACGACCACGTCTACTCCTGCCAGTTTGGCAACTTCCTCGGGACCTGCCATAAGGAGCGCGAGGATCTGAAGTGAGTTGGCGTTAGAGCCAGCAGTCTAGAAGTGACTTAAAACATTTAAAAAAAACCCCAAAAATGACTAGGTTGTGTTTGTTAGGGCATTTTTAATTCAGCTGTAAACTGGTTAAGGGTAACATTGTCCTGAGAGATGCTTGTGTTGTATGGTGTGAAAAAGAATTGTAGCTTAATTATATCCCAAGGTGAGATGTTTGATTTGGACCACAGTAACTTGCAGATACCCCTTTTGGACTGAATAGGGTCCGTTTTAAATGGTTGTGTGTTCTGATGTATTGTGCGTTTAGGAAGTTAATCAGATGGTGTGTAAAAATAATTCTTGGCTTCCTTCATCTAATTTTGCCCATAACAACTAATGTTATTAATCCTCTTAACTTGATCCATTTGTTTTTACTGATTCGCTGTTACTTGTCATGGACAGAATCTTTGAGAAGACCCATTCTCTGTGGCCTTTCCTCTTACAGAAGAGGCAGGAATTCCGAAATCCTTTGTACAGAGGATTTACAGCTTACCAAGAGCTTCTACCAAACACACTACCTTTCAGTTTCCAGTAAGTCGCTTATTTAAGATGTGGAAGAAGGAGGGCAGTGTATTTTCCATTATAATGTTGGTTTGTCGTTCAGGTTTAATAAAACACATTTTCACTGATTAGCGTGGGTTGTTCTACCTTTCCCCTCCATTCCTCATCCGTAAACTGAGAGTAGTAGTGCACAGGTAATTGCTAAATAAGTGCAGGTACTGTCATTTAAAATAATATTTTTTCTTTGGTGTTGAGAAAGAGGGTGTGGAAAAGCGAGGGACAGAACTTTAGATGTGTAGAGAGACCCACGCACATGCCCTGGCTGCTTGCTCTGTCACGTTTAAGTGATGGGACAGGCAGTTGTTAAAGTTCCTTCTTTAAGGAAATCTTTCCAACAGGAATTTCGCTGCCCAGCCACACTCAGGTTTCTGCAGTCAGAGTGGGTTTCACAAAAGGGATTTCTTGTTGCCGTGTCTGTTTGTTTGGCCAGAGCGTTAACAGTTGAAGTGGTGGAGTTTCCTTCGCTTCTGGCTTGCTCCTGTTCCCTGCTGAGAGAGGGAGGGACACAAATGTGGTTTTAGGTGCTACTTCTGGGCAAAGGGTTTTAATAAAAGGAGGGAGGTCGGGCAAACTGAGGGCATGGAGGTGAGCTGCCTGAGCCTCCAGCGAGTGTGGAAGAAAAAAAGTGTGATTTTGTCTTAAGCTAATACTGCAGGCACTGCCTGTGGATCATAAGGCAGAAGTACTGAAATGCTCAGTATTTCCAAACTTAATTTGCTCACTGATGCTGAATTTTAGAATCTAAGGCTGTGGCAGTTTTTTTTTAAAATCAATTGCTAATCTCAATTAGTTGAAGATCCCGTTCTTTAAACAGTATCTGGTTTGTTGGCCGACGGTGCAGTCAGTGGCCTTGCTCTCTTTTTCGCGCTCTCTTGTTGAGGTTTTGGTGTGGGATGTACAATCGCTTTGACAAAGGGATGCACCCCAAGCAGCGTGTGTTGGATCATCTGCTCGGCTGCATGAGCAAAAAGGTGCAACTGGAGGACAACGCGTCTGAGCTGGAAAATGTGAGTCCCGAATCTTAAGAATATTTAAAATTACGCAACGGTTTTGGCAAATACAACAGATGGAACGTTCGTTTCAACGTGCTGGGCAGGGCCCTTTCCTAGGTTAATGCAAATGCTGAAAACTTCAGCTTTATTAATTAAACTATGGTCCCTTCCAGCCCCTACCGTTCTGTGTTTGTATCGAATGGTGTAGAAGGATTGGTGCCCATTAGCTCTGGATTAAAGAGTGGAAAAGAGGTGCTGGTACAAGACTGTTACGTTGGCAGGGTTGTTTTGTGTATCCCTGACATCTGGGAATAATAGCTCTGATAATTTTCTTTTTTTAAATGTCTTTTTGTGTAGAAACTTCCTTTCCTCGATGGCCCTTCGCCCAGCGAAGCTTGCTCCTTACCTAGAGCAAGCCGTGCTCCTTCAAAAACGCCGATGCTCAACACTCCTCAGGATTACGGAGGGGACCCTCCTCTCACGCTGAGCAACGGCGGCTCTGCCGGGGAGCTTGATCTGCCAGTTGCAACCCAAAAGCACGAAGAGAACCCGCCTCACCCCTGCAACCTTCCCGACGCCGTTGACAATTTAGACTCTGAAGTGCAGGATGGAAAGCCGCGGCGCCGTTGACAGCCCCGGTGCCGTGTGGTGGCGAGGCCTCCGGGAGCTGTGCCCCCGTGGGGGGCTGCGCGCCCCCTCACCATTTCCAGCTGAGCCTGAGCACGCATGTTTGCGGGGAGCCACGCTGGCTCTGGAGAAGGGTCAGTGTTTGGTTTGGTTCGTATCGGTTTTGCCGCTGGGATGATGGCAGTGCCCGCAGAGCTGCGCAGAAGCCTTCCTTGAGTTAGCACAAACCTTATTTTTTAGCGTGGGAACACAAAGTGTGTTGAAGGTTTACGCGTTTACGGTTCGTGGCTGGGGTTTCAGGCTGAAAGAGATCTTGGCCAATGAAGGTGGGGCGTGGAAGTCGTGCAGTGTTTACAACCGAAAGAGGAAGGATACGCTCCGCTTATTCTCAGCGGTGGTACAAGACCGTCTCAAAATGATGAAAAAGTTCAGTTGATCTTAAAGAAACTCAAGTCTCTTCTTAGCTGTGAATGAATCTCTGCATGGACCCTCACCTTGTGGCTGAAAGAGATCTTGGCCAATGAAGGTGGGGCGTGGAAGTCGTGCAGTGTTTACAACCGAAAGAGGAAGGATACGCTCCGCTTATTCTCAGCGGTGGTACAAGACCGTCTCAAAATGATGAAAAAGTTCAGTTGATCTTAAAGAAACTCAAGTCTCTTCTTAGCTGTGAATGAATCTCTGCATGGACCCTCACCTTGTGGCAGAACGGATGCATTTTTTTTGTTTCCTATGCATATTTGTTAAACAAAACCAAACCCCCCTGTGCCTTTTTCTAGAGACCGTTTTAATGTCTAGCCGCGCAGTGTACTGGTTTTAGCATTGTGGAGTGTAGCATTTGGTCTTCTTTGTAGTCAGTATTTTTAAACAAGTGGGTTTTTTATCTGCTGCCAGCTTCTCCAGGATCTTTGCTGATCCCCTGAGTTCAGTAGCTTCTTTCTAAGCTGACCTTTCAAAGAACAAGCTTTGGTGGCCCTCATTTACTGATGGTGGGCATGCAACAAGCCACAAAGCACTTAACACGGGAATTTTTGGCAGAGGGAGGAGTAGAAATGAGAAAAGATAGGAAGCAATTTATAGGGAATTTGTCTTCCTTGTTTTATCATCTTGGTTAAATTGAAGCAAGAGAGTAACTCTTTGTTTTAAGCTGGAATCGATGTGCTTTCCTCACGCCCATCGACGAGGCAGGACTTACAGCCCAAACAGATTCCTACCCATCAGGTGCTGAGTGCCGAGAGCAAATGTCCTCCTGGGTGTTAAAATTACACGAACCTCGGAGATGTTTTGGCCGTCCTGTCGAGATGTGGCGAGCTGAACAATATTTCTCAACGGCAGCGAGCTTTGCAGTTTTTGGCCACAAAACGTAAATTGGGATGTGACCCCTCGCTGGAGCAAGAAGCAGACGTTGTCGTGGTTCTAGAGCTCGTTAACACTGCTTGGTTTCTTTAACCTGTGGTAGTCTTGGCTGGAGATACTAGTTCAAAGTTGCAGGTTTAAGACAAGCTTCTGTAGATGTGCTTAATTGCAGAGTCCTGTTGTGCAGCTTAATTCAAGGCGCTTTCCTGCTTTCTTTTGGATCCTCTTGTTTAAAGGAGATGCTGCCGCTAGGTCTTACAATCCGTTTTTCTCTTCAGTTTGGTTCAAAATTATTTTATAAAAAATATTTTCTCAGCCTTCCCAACCTATGATAAAAAGTAGAAACACGCTATTATAGCATCGTAAAATGCTTTTCTCTTTTATAAAATAATTTTGAACCAAACTGAAAATATTTTCTCAGCCTTCCCAACCTATGATAAAAAGTAGAAACACGCTATTATAGCATCGTAAAATGCAACAGCTGGTGTTCACATACCAGTGACCCCTGGTGAAGTGACAGTGCGAGTTTCAGTGTTTGAGATAAAGTAGAAAAGAGGAGAGGAAAAAAACAAACCACCAAACACAAAAACTCCTCTGAGTGTAAGAAAATAGATATTTTATTAAGCATATCAAAAGACACAAGGAAAAGGGACAATGCCAGAGAACAATTTCTTTTCTTCAGTGCCTAGAATGGCAGCGAGAAACTTCTTTTGAATCTTGCAGGTTCCTCAATCCTAAAGCAAGTCATGTCATTGTTTCTGAGGTAGGAGCGAGAGAACTTCAGCATGTGAGTATTTAAAAGCAAAGTGTGTGAAATACCAAACCGGGTATGCTTCAGGAGATGCTAAAAATTTGTTGTGTGGGTACCTATCAGCAGCACTGCATCGTGCGGCCGCTGTGTTCTTTTGAAGGAGGGACATGTCTTTTCCTCATCTGCTGATGCGTCTCCTTGCTCCTGACGAGCTCTGTGAAGCTCCTCGAGGTAGGTTAGGCAGTTTGTTCAGTTTGCCGTATCCTCGTACTCCTCAAGCGAGGAGATCGCACCCCGAATCTTACCGGGGCTGCTCTAGACACGCAGGGCTCAGATCTGCTGTAGAATTCCACTGGAGGGTGCTGGGGAGGTTCTTCCCCGTTGCCTCTTTTCTGGTGTGAAAGCTGGGTTTCACACCTGCTCCCTGGGGGCTGACAGCTGGACCCCCGTGTCTTTTCTTCCTGGGTAGTGGCAGAGTGTAGTGGGTGATGTGTGTGGCTTCTGGAAGAGAAGCCAACAAAATGGTTAATGAGACCAAGACAGGCGCTTCTTAGGACCAGTTATTACTCTGTTGTGTTCAGCAGATCTTTTAAGGCGTTCTCTTGTGAAAATCCAAGATATGGAATTGTACCATTGTGACCTGACTACTGTTGGTTCGTTGTTGTATCGAGACCTTCTGGTGAAGGTTTCTATAAATGTTTACACATTGCCTGGTCTTTCAATTTACCACGGATTACCTTGAAAAAAGTAGAATAACCTTTGCTGATTCCTAGAACGTGACGTTGATGTTTCCCCAGATCCTTCTTGACTACAATATTACTACAGGTGCATATAACCATAACGAAATTGCTTCATCCACTGAAACTGGTAGTAATCTTGCTGCTTTTGACCTCGGTAACAAAACGATGGATGACTTTATACTTTCAGATGCAAAACCTAGCCAAAAAAGAAAAAAAAGGTAAGGATCTGTCTTTTCAAACCTCTTGGATTTCATGTATACAGACCTGGTCAAAGTCTGCATGGTATTAAAAATCATTGATGCTGGTGCTGTACAATTACAGAGCTGGAAGAGATTCCAGGGTTTCCGATCTTTCCAGGAGATTATTTCTCAGAAGAACCAGTTTAGGTGGAAGCTTTTTAGTATTGACGGGAACTCCGGTGTGTTTCAAGACCAAAAATGCGAAGCCGCTCAAAGCGCTGCAGCGTCTCCTCAGGCCTCGGCTGAGCCAGGACCTCAGGACTTGCGCAGCCCGAGTGACGCAGTTACGCCCTTCCTAAAAGCGTTGAAGGAAATCTGAAAGCTGTTACGTAGGAATCTGCTTAATGGTGAAAAGTTGCTGTAACTTATTTATTGCTAGTGGACCGTCCACGTGGTGTGAAGTTTGATTTGGGGCTGTTGAGTGAACGATTTGCTGCTTTCCCTTTGGGTTCCTGGGACTGGGAGAACTGGGAGGGAGGAGGGATCCTGTTTGCTGCCTGTGGGCTCTGTTTGCATAAAACTTCCTTTTCTGGAGGACCTTTTCCCGCTTGACCAAGATATTCCATGGTTTCACGCCTGTATATAATGTCTCTCCTGCTGCAACGTGGGCAGGTGTCCTCAATATTCTGCGTTAAAGCTCCTGCTTTGAAGCAGAAGAGGGACTCCTGTACCTTTGTTTCTGGGTTGAAACATCTTCAGGTGAGCTTCACGATGCCGGATTCTTCTTTTGTTTTGCACTTATCACCTGTGGCAGAGAAAATCCAGTCGGTGCTGTTGCTCTGTAGGGAACAAAAAGGGAATAGATGGTTTGCCCGGCGATAGTGTAGTTCTCGGTTAGGAGAGGAGAAGCAGTCGGCTCAAGCCTGTGGGCAGAAGATACTTCTGCTCCGCTCCTCTCCCCTTTCCCACCGCTCGCGTCACTTTTTGTTCAAAGGACCAAACAGCGTTACTCCTTGGTTACTCCTGGTTTACAGACTGTGCCTCTCGGCCGCGCAGGCACTGCCTGTGCCGCGGGGGAAGGAGTCCGTTCTGAACGTCGTAGTTTTGTTAGAATTAGCGCTTGATCAGTTCGGTGAGGAACGTCTCGCGCCGGGCGACGTCGAAGCCTGTGCGTCCGCGAGCCTTGTGGCACTACGAGCAGCCGCAGGCGGGCGGCGTGGTTCCCTGGGGCGAGTATCTGGACGCGGAGCGCTGTGTCCTTTGGGCATCCCTGAACTGCGAAAGCAATGCAGGGAGAGGGTGGGTTCAAATCGCTGCCCGTCTCTCTCCTCCTTCCATTGATCGCTGAGTGTATCTGTATTTTACCGTAGCTGCGTACCGCTGGGGTGACATGTAGCACTGGAGCTGGTCGTGTGTACCGGAGCACACGCGTGTCCTGTCATCCACAAGCCGGTCTTTGTAGGAACGTACCCAAAGTCGTGTGTAGTAGCTGGAAATCGTGAATGTTTTTGCTGTTTCTGTCAGTCAGTCACTGTTTTGTCGGTGTAGCTGTCGGGGGACGGGTGTATAAAGTAGTGGGTGATGAAATCCCACGTTGGTGGCTGTGTACGTGTACGTCCTTTTAGTTAATGCACTGCTTAAAAAAACCTCAAAACCTAAAGAAAACCCCTAATTGTACCATGTTTAGAGGAGCACTGTGTCTTTTTTTTCTCTAAACGGTTTTGTTCCATGAAGTTTCACGTGTATTAGTTTTATTTTTATTCCCTACAAAAATAAAGACCTTGCCTTTTTAAAGTAAACGGTTGGTCTGTTTAGTGCTTAATTAAACTCGGAGCAGAGCTTTAAACTTGGAAATGAGAAGTGAGGACTCTTTAAGTGGTGAAGCTTGTCTTAAACCGAGTGTGATTTCCCCTTCCCTTCCTTCTACAAAATAGGAATTGGATGACCTCACCGGTTTTGGTGGTGGTAAAAAGAAACAAA